CCTTGTGCAGTAGTGGCACCAGTCAGACAAGAGAAGTTAAAACTAAGTTATGAGCATAGCAGCTATTGGTTTAGCCTTTATGGCTTAATAATGTTCTCATTGTCCTCATCAATCTGGGAGGATCATTTCACTGAAACTTATTTTACTTTTTGGTATTTAAAATATGTTGACTTTCAAAATAAAATAGAAATGTAGAAGATGAACCAAAAAATGTATCATTAAAGTGACTTGTTCTATAAAATTTGGATTCAGTCTAAAGGCTTCACTTAAGAACCTAGAAGGAGACCACATGTGGCCTTAAAACCTCAGGTTCCCCATGTCTAGTTTATAGTTTTGCTTTGTTTTGAGAGTTTCACTTTGTCACCCTTGGTAGAGTGCCATGGCGTCATAGCTCACAGCACCCTCAAACTCCTGGGCTCAACCTATTCTCTTGCCTCAGCCCCCCAAGTAGCTGTGACTATAGGCACCCACCACAGTGCCCAGCTATTTTTAGAGACCGGATCTCACTCTTGCTCAGGCTAGTCTCAAACTCCCTGAGCTCAGGCAATCCACCTACCTCAGCCTCCCAGAGTGCTGGGATTTCAGGCATGAGCCACTGCAACCAGCCCTAGTTTATAGTTTGTGACTCTCCCTTTAGTCTGCGGGCTACTTCAGTACCACTTGCACTTAACACAGTGCTCCTAGCTCACAATAAACACTTCAGAAATAGAGCATAATAGTATTTCATAAATCCTTTGCTGTAGACTTCATATTTTAGAGATATTTTACACTGTCTTAGTCTCTTCAACACAGTTATTAAATGTTGGAGTATCTTGAGTTGGTCCTATCCACTCTTTTCCTTGCACTGTATTCTCTCTCCCTTCACTCTCTCTATCTCAATCATCCATATCCACTTTTACAGCTTATCTCCTTTATAAATCTGATAGCCAAATTCTTGTCTTCAGATCTTTTCTTAGCTCCAAAGCTTTTATCTGTTTGGATGGCTCAATGGCACCTCAAACCCCATATGTTCAAAATTGAACATTTGATTTTCCCCCGCCAAACCTGGCTCCCCCTGATGTCCTTTATAATTCAGTGAATGAAATCCCTATCCAACCAACTAGGAAAGCCAGAAGTCTTAGTCAAATATATTAAGAGTAGAATATAAATGTCTAAACAAAACAAGTAAATAAATGAAGTGAAAGCTATGTTAACCAGTTTGATGTAAACATTCAAAATTGTATATAAAAGCAGCACATTGTACCCCATAAATGGAGTAATGTACACAGTTATAATCCAACAAAAAATAAAATAATAAAAATTTAAAAGTTGAGCTAAAAAAAAGAATAATCCCAGACATCTTCCTCTCTCCCACCCCTCCCATACAGAATTTATCACCAACTCCTATCAATTCTATCTCCTAACTATATTGCAAATCTATTCACTTATACTTTCACAACAATTATTTTCTGAACTATAGCACTAGCCTGCTAACTATTCCCCTTATGTTATTTCTTCCCTTTTGTAGTCTATTCTTCATGCTGTAGCCAGGGTGATCTTGCCAAAACCCAACTATGATTATATAACCCCTTCTCCTACTTAAGTCATTTTAATAGACTCCAAAACATTTCCATTGCCTATGAGGTTTTGCATACCCATCTATGTCTAATGATACACCAACTTCAGCTTCAGTCTCATTATCTGGCCAAATCCACTTTTCAGGTTCAGCTATGGCTTTGGCTTTTATATTTAAGGGCTGAATAGCCAAATATATTCTTCAACATGAAATTACTCAGCTCTTTCTGCAGCAACAAACAACTCTAAAATTTCAGTGATTTGCAACAACAGACATTTCCTGTTCATCTTACATGAAGGCTAGTGGTTAGCTATAGCTTCCTAGAATTGGCATGGTACTGGTAGCTCCATGAATCTTCTCATTTAGGAACCCAAGCTGAAAGAACTGCCACTCTCTTAGGCATACTCTCCTCTTAGAAATCGAAACTACAAGGGAAGGTGGGGGTAAGGGGCTCAGTAAGCTCCTACCTAATGAGTATAACACAGGGATATATGGCACATCTCCTGGGTGAAGGACTCAAATACACCTAACAAATGCAAACAATGTAACCTAATTGTATGCACCCTTCTATTAATCTGAAATTTAACAAAAGACTCAAGGGAGACAAAGCCAAACCAGAAAAAGATATTTAGAACTTCTGCTCTGATGTAGGTTATATTGTACTCTCTTATTCATCTATTGCTACATTACAAATTACAAACTTAAACCCATATTTATTACCTCACTATTTCTTTTTTCTTTCTTTTTTAAGAGAGACAGAGTTTTACTTTTGTCACCCTCGGTAGAGTGTCATGGCATCACAGCTCACAGCAATCTCCAACTCTTGGGCTTAGGCAATTCTCTTGCCTCAACCTCCCAAATAGCTGGGACTACAAATAGCTGGGACTACAGGTGCCTGCCACAACACCTGGCTGTTTTTTTGTTGCAGTTTGGCCAGGACTGGGTTTGAACCCGCCACCCTCGGTATATGGGGCTGGCACCCTACTCACTGCTGGCCTCACTGTGAGGTGCTGCCCGTATTACCTCACTGTTTCTGTGGGTCAGGAGTCTGGTCACAGCTTCACTGGATCCTCTACTTAAAGGTTTCATGAGGTTGCTATCAAGGTGTCAGCCAGGCTGCAGTCTTATCTGGAGACTTGAATAGGGAAGAATCCATCTCCAAGCCCACTCAGGTTGTTAGCAGAAATCATTTTCTTGTGGCTATAGAAATGAGAGCTCCACTTGCTGACTATCAGCCAAAGACTACTGTCAGATTTTAAAGACCACCTAGTGGCTGCCCAGAGTTCCTAGATGTTCCTTACAGATCCTAGACATGTTGCCACAGTTCTTTGCAGTGTGGTACTATGGCTGCTTACTTCATCAAGCTAGCAAGGAAAATCTCTACAGTTAATCTGATGATAAGACTAATTCTTATATAATGTAATCACAAAAGTCTCACCTTTGCCATATTCTATCAGTTTGAAGCCTATCACAGGTTTCATGCACACTTACGAAATTATAGAAAGACATGATTACCAGGAGGTGGGATCGTGTAGGTCATCCTAGAGTCTATACATCACATCTACTTACATTCTATTGACTGATGCAAGTCATTTGCTAGTCGATCCTAAGAACAATGGGACAATAAGCTACCTTCAGGGTGGGAAAGCACTGAATAATTTTTAACAAATACTACAACCTACAAAGAACATTATTTTTGACATTCTCAAACTTGTGTGTGACCAATGATCATATGATCACCTAGGTTGCTGCGTTCATTAGCATTACGATGACAGCTATATGAGTCATTTGGAGTTATTGTTAGTCTCTAAATATTCACTTTCAAACATAGATAAGCATTCTAGATATAACCTGGAGATAAAAATCTCATATGTTCTATATGTTTTAATTCTATCAGTCAGTTGAAAGATAAATGTATATCTATTATGCAAGAGTACAATACAACAATAATTAATGCTAATTATAAGAACTGTAAATTTTATCTCAATAAAATGTAACAACTTCCAAATAGTTAAATATAGAAATAGATTGGTAGTTACTATAAATTATAAGAGTTTACACTCACTAGATGACCTTAGGAGGAATATTATTATCGATTTCAAGTCAATAAAAATTTAAATAATAGAGATTCAAGTATATTATAATTCTAAATTGTAGACTTGTTGGAGATACTAGAATTCACAACAGTAACCAAAATAACCTTTAAGTAACATGTAATTTTTAGTTAATAATTTCATGATTCTTTCAAGAAAAAAAATCTTACTTAGGAATTTTTCACATCTTATGAGAATGACTTAAAACCAGTATATCAACTTTGCCAACTCCAATTTTTCAAGGAAGAAAAATCTCCAAAATGGAAGTTAAGGAAACCTCTCCAAAGGAAGTGAAAATTCAGCTAAAATGTGAAGGAGTTAGATAGGCAAAAATAGAAAAAAGAAGGAGGAGGAACATTTCAAGTAGAGGGAGAGGCAAATGAAAGACTCAGAACACTGAACACATGTCAAAGGGGCTAAAGTACTGAGAGAAGGTGTATTCCTTTACTATGCTACCACAGAATAATGACTTAAAACAACACACATTTATCATTTCAGTTTCTGTAGGTCAAGAATCCAGGCAGAGCTTAACTGTATCCTCTCTAAGGCTTAAATCAAGGCCTTGGTCAGAGCTGGGCCCTCATCTAGAATCTAGAGGCTCAACTGGGGAAAGGTCCACTTACAACCTCATGCCAGTTGTCAGCAGTCTCTTTCTTTGTGGCTTTAAAACTTATGCCAGGTTTCTTCTTCAAAGCCATCAGTGGAGAAAGAGACTCTAAAATCTGCTAGCAAGACAGGGTTTTACATGTATGTAAGGAGTGACATCCCATCACATTTGCCATATTCTATTGGTTAGAATTCAGTCACAGGTGCACTATCCTCAAGGGGAGGGGATAACACAAGGGCATGAACACCAGTAGGTGAGGGTCATAAGGAACATCTCAAAATTTGTCCCCCAAAGAGAGGGGTATAAGATGGTATATGATAGGTAGTAGAGGTTCATTTAATCTATAGTTTGGCTAAATGCAGCTTGGCCAGGTATCAAAATCAATATTAAGCCAAAGCTAAGTCCAAATCCAAACATCATTATTATATATTGAAATACTGGTACATAGACATAAATTTGAAATTATATCAAAATATTAATCACAATAAATGTACTCTTAAAATGTTAGTAGCCAATTATTTTAAGTTGATCATTACATTCTGGGGAAAAAATTTCCAAGTAATGTCAAACTGCCTGCTGCAGTATTGGTCATTCCTTTGTGCCATTTCTACAGCCAAAACTTTACATTTATTTGTAGGATTTGCTGATTATTAATGGAGTCCTATGCTAGACTGTAATTTCCAGGAGAGGAGGAGTATGTGGCCAGTTTTGACCATAGTAGTACTTTTGGTAAAATAGGGATTTGGGAGATCTCAGGTGACCAGGAGTCGACGTGTGCAGAAGTCCTCCTGCTAGTCTGGTCCTTGTTCCCGCCTGGGTCCCAGCTTCCTTCAGCGGTGAAGTAGACAGCGTGGGAGCCCAGCGGAAGAAGTCAACTTGTGGGATTTTTGCAAGTCTGAGTTTGTAGCACGACCCAAGGCTAGAAAAGGGGGAGGAAGAAACTGATCCGGTCAGTACCAGAAGTTATCACATACAAAGGGGAAAAGCAGGGAAAAAAGAATAAAGGAAGGAAGACAGACACACACAAGATGAAACCCTGTCAAAAAATTGAAGGAAAACCAGAAAATGAGAGTGAACCAAAGCTTGAGGAAGAGCCAACACCAGAGGAAAAGCCAGAGGAGGGAGAGCCAGAAGACCAAGAAAAAGCAGAAGGAACTTTTAAAGAAAGGCTGATTCAGTCTCTCCAGGAATTTAAAGAAGATATACACAATAGGCATTTAAACAATGAAGATATGTTTAGAGAAGTGGATGAAATGGATGAGATAAGGAGAGTGAGAAACAAACTTATAGTGATGCGTTGGAAGGTTAATCGAAACCATCCTTACCCCTATTTAATGTAATTCACTGATCTTTATTTGATATTAACAATAGGTTTCTTTTTATTAGCATTTTCCTGATAAACTTTTGTCCTGCTTTCTACTTTTAACCTGCTGCTATTAGTGGTTTTAGATTTATCTCATTATCTGCATCTCATTGTTTATTGTACATTAAACCAATCTACAAGACTTTATCTTCTAATAAAAGAGATTTACTCATATGTAAAAAAGAGGTTCCTGGTAGGATATAAAATGAGAAAGAGGTTAATAAGTAATATGTGAATATCATATTTTTGAAAGGTAAAAGTACAATTGTATATTACATATATACACATAGAAACTTGTGAAGGATGAAAGACAAAAAGTATTGTATTGGTGGTGGGATTATGAATGATTTTTCTTCTTTTGCTTATTTGTATTGTCTATATTCTTAAAATGAACACACACTATTATTGCTAAAAATAATAAAAGTTTTATAACAATAAAAGCAAAAACAAAAAATAGGGATTTGGGCTACCAAATCGCCTTTGCTCCTACTCATCCCCACCCCTCATGAGAAGAGAGACTTGTTTATTTTTTTCAATTGTTCTAGGAGGTTTCGTTCTCAACTCCAGCTCTCCACACCTATGTCTTCTGTCATATTTAAAATGGAGTTTAAAAGCTTTCTAACATATAGCCTATGACCATGTCAACTCTTTTTTATTTTTATTTTTTTGAGACAGTCTCAAGCTGTTCCCCTGGGTAGTGCTGTGGTGTCAGCTCACAGCAACATCCAACTTGGGCTCAAGCAATCCTCTTGCCTCAGTTTTTCTATTTTTAGGAGAGATGGGGTCTCACTTTTGCTCAGGCTGGTCTCAAACTCCTAAGCTCAAGCAATCCACCTGGCTCATCCTCCCAGAGTGCTACTATTATAGGTGTGAACCACCACATCTGGCCTCATGTCAGCTCCTTAACTTTGTTTTTTCAATTTACTTTTCTTCTTTTTATTTTTTTTTTTTTTGTTTTTTATTGTTTGGGATGCATTGAGGGAATAAAGAATTAGGTTACACTGATTGTATTTGTTAGATAAAATCCCTCTTATAATTGTGTCCTACCCCAAAAAGGTGTGCCATACAACATGATCCTCCATCCCTCTCCCTCTTTCCCTCACCCAATTTGCTCATTCCCTTATCCCCCACCATGTATTAGCTCATCTACTGCCTTCATCTTCTAGTACATTGGATTCTTGTTTCTCCATTCTTGTGATGCTTCACTAAGAAGAATGTGTTCCATCTCCATCCAGGTTAATACAAAAGATGTAAAGTCTCCATCTTTTATAGTGACTGAATAGTATTCCATGGTGTACATATACCACAGCTTGTTAATCCATTCCTGGATTGCTGGGCATTTAGGCTGTTTCTGCGTTTTGATGATTATAAACAGAGCTGAGATAAACAGTCTAGTGCAAACATTCTTATGATAAAAGTATTTTTTTCTTCTGGGGAGATGCCTAGTAATGGGATTGCAGGATCAAATGGGAGGTCTAATTTTGGTTCTTGGAAAATTCTCCTTACTTCCTTCCAAAAAGGTTATATTAGTTTGCAGTCCCACCAGCAGTGTAAAAGTATTCCCTTCTCTCCACATCCATGCCAGCATCTGCAGCTTTGAGACTTTGTGATGTGGGCCATTTTCACTGGGGTTAGAAGATATCTCAGGGAAGTTTTGAGGATTTTTATTGTTTAATGCCTTATATTTCAATATTTTATCCACATTGAATCAATTTTTATAAGTGGTGAGAGGTGTGAGTCCAGTTTCAGTCTTTTACATGTGGTTATCCAGTTCTAACACCATTTATTGAATGGGGATTCTTTTCCCCAGTGTATGTTCTTGTTTGGTTTATCAAAGATCAGGTGCTGTAAGACATCAGTTACATCTCATGGTTTTCTATTTGGTTCCAAATGTCAATGTTTCTATTTTTGTGCCAATACCATGCTGTTTTGATCACTATGGCCTTGTAGTATATAGCTAAAAGTCTGCTAGAGTGATACCACTGGCTTTGTTTTTATTCCTAAGAATTGCCTTGGCTATATGGGGTTTCTTCTAGTTCCAGACAAAATGAAGAATTATTTTTTACAAATCTTGAAAGTATGGTAATAGTATGTTAATGAGGGTTGCATTGAATCTATAGATTGCTTTGGTTAGTATAGACATTTTCACAATGTTGATTCTTCTCAGACATGAGCATGTTATGTTCTTACATTTGGTAATATCTTCTTTTTTTTTTTTTTTTTTGGCAGCTTTTTGGCCAGGGCCAGGTTTGAACCCACCACGTCCAGTTTATGGGGCTGGCACCCTACTCCTTGAGCCACAGGCGCTGCCCTGTTAATATCTTTTGCTATTTTCTCAGGGTTTCATAATTTTCTTTGTAGAGATTGTAGAAATCCTTCACCTCTTTTTTTATGTGTATTCCTAGGCATTTCATTTTATTTGAAGCTACTGTGAAGGGAATTTTGTCCTTGATTAGCATCTCACCTTGGTTGTTATTGGCATATACAAAGGCTACTGATTTGTGAACATTTATTTTATATCCTGAGACATTGCTGTATTTTTTGATCACTTCCAGAAGCCTGTGGTGGAGTCTTTGGGGTTCTCTACATATGAGATCATATCATCAGGGCAGTGCCTGTAGCTCAGTGAGTAGGGTGCTGGCCCCATATACTGAGGGTGGTGGGTTCAAACCTGGCCCTGGCCAAACTGCAACAAAAAAAATATACAGGCACTGTGGCGGGCACCTGTAGTCCCAGCTACTCGGGATGCTGAGCCAAGAGAATCACCTAAGCCCAAGAGCTGGAGGTTGCTGTAAGCTGTGACGCCACAGCACTCTACCAAGGGTGACAAAGTGAGACTCTGTCTCTATAAAAAAGAGAGAGACAGACAGAGATCATATCATCAAGCAAAGAGCGAGAGTTTGACCTCCTCTGCACCCATTTGGATGCCCTTCATTTCCTTCTTTTGCCTGATTGTATTGGCTAGAACTTCTAGCACTGTGTTGAATAGTAGTGTCATTAGAGGACAACCTTTTCTAGTTCCAGTTCTAAGTGGGAAAGCTTTCAGTTTTACTCCATTCAGTATGATATTAGCTGTGGGTTTGTCACAGATGGTTTTGATCAGATTAAAAAATGTGTCACTTATGCCTATATTCTTAAGTGTTCTAATTAGAAAAGGATGCTGAATTTTCTTGAATGCTTTTTCTGTATCTATTGAGAGGATCATATGGTCTTTTCTTTCTTTCTTTTTCTTTTTTTTTTTTTTTGCTTCTGTTGATATAGTAAATTGCATTTATAGATTTGTGTATATTAAACCAGCCTTGCATCACTCAGATGAAACTTACTTGATCATGATGAATGATTTTTTAATATGTAGCTGTAATCTATTGGCTAGGATTTTATTGAGAATTTTTGCATCTATATTCATTAGTGAAATTGAAGTGCCTATTCTGTTTTCTCTCTCTCCTTTTCTGCCTCTTTAACTAGCTGGGTTAACTCAAAGACTTTTCTCCACTCCACTCCACTGACTGGTGTCCTTAATCTTCTTTTCACATGTTTCTCTCAGCTCCCCAGCTTTATTCTAAGGTAATTGAGGGGAACAACTCTGTCTTATTTATCTTTATAGTTCCAGTGTATCTACTAGCACAGTACTTGGCAAGGAAAAGGTATCATAAATATCTATTTAATAAGAATCAGCTTCCAACTTAATCCACAATTTCACCTTGAAAGTCAAACAGAAGCAAACATGAATCATGTTTATGAATGAAATTAGGCAAGGCAGTGTGGCTTGATCATCAATTTCATTATCATCAGTGGCAGGGTGAGGTCTGCATATTCTGCAACCTGAGATAAGCTTCTTTTTGTCTTTCTTTTTTTCATCATTCATTCATTCAGCAAACTCTAATAGAGGTAAGAGCATGCATAGCTACCGTGGGATCATACAGAAAAGAACAGATTGGGGGAGGTAGTGAGGGCAGGGAGAGGGAGTTTGGGAAGTTTTTCAGAAAAGGTGATACAACCACATTCAGAAACCAGTGCAATATCATTTTAATAAGTGGCTGAATAACAAATGGCAGTAATACCATTACCAAAATAAATAATGGAAATGGGATAGAGCTAGCAGAGATCAACTGATGTAGAATTTTTAGCAATATCAAGTTAGGGAGGCTACTGTGATGCTGACAAAGATAGAATTTGCCAGGACTGAAAGTATAGATTCTTTGTAAGAAATTAAAGATGGGGGAATAAAAAAGAATCCCTAGACATTATAATCTTTGCTAAGTGCCAGATGTTTTATGTATGTTATTTCATTTAGTCTCCAAAGGAATCACATGAAATGAGTATTTCCTCTCATTTTATGGTAATAATATTGAGGACAGGAAGGTGAAGTGACATAAACAGTGAAGATCAGTTTGACTTCAGTTTCAGCACTCTTTCCATAAATACTGGTAGCAAATCTTTTATGTAGATATTATTGTATACCAACTGTGTTTCTTACAGTGTTATATTTATTAAGTTATTTATTTCTTTCACTACCCACAATGAAGTATGCAATTAAATTATCATATTATTTTATAGTTTTATAGTAAATGAAACTAAGACACAATAAACTTAAGTGATTTGGCCTAGATCACACAGCAAAGAAAATAATAGACCAGAATTCAAACACAAATCATCTGTCTCTTAAACCATGTACACTAGGCTGCTTCTGCTACGTTCAGTCTAGTTAGCTAGGAGATATTTTCCTTTCTACTCCTCCCTGGCTATTAGCACAAATTCTTCTTGTGATAGTGACTCACTGAGGTAGGTGGCATAGAGAGTTAGGAAATGATATCTGGGGTCAGCAGATGAAATGAGCACTTCATACTGCTTCTTCTTTGCCGGCTTTATCTCAAGGTCAGAGAGGTAAGTATGCGGCGGCCTAGAGATATAGAAGTCATAAACTGCTTTCTCATCCCTGTTTCTGAGTCTAACAAGGACATTGCCAATCTTTTTGGAGATAACCCTGTGACTAACCCCCAATCCCCTCTTAGAGAAATGCATCCTAGAGAATTGGTGCTAAAGCCCTAATTTTCTCCTCAGTTTTCCCCCATTTGATACTCAGGATGAATGCTATGTCAAGCAGAATACCAGAAAAAGTTAACTCGTGACAGGGGCTCGCTTTTAAGGATCACAGTTAGGTGTTTCTCTTTAACACTATTATTAATATTCCCAGGATATAATTATGATTTTCTAAAGCCTACAGTCAAGCTGAAGAATCACATAGGCATAACCAAACAAAAGGTGGGCCTTTCAGATCTCCATTGCTAAAGTGGAAAAGAATTGTCAAATTGGTAGCCACCCCCAGCTTTCCTGCACTAGTGTGGTTTAAGCCTGCTTTCACTGTGGTGGCGACAGAAGAGGGTTAGAAGAGGAATATTGAGCCTCAGAGGGGAATAATAGTCTCAGACTGGGAAATCAGGAGT